TTTCCATCAGCCAGGGACAGACCATACAAGTGCTCTGTGTGCCAGAAGGGCTTTAAACATTTGTCTGAACTGACTCGGCACGAGCGTGTTCACACAGGAGAAAAGCCTTTTAAATGTGATATATGCGATAAAGCATTCAGCCAGTCGTCACACTTACAACATCACCAGCGGACCCATAGCAATGAGAGGCCATTCAAGTGTGCGGTTTGTGAGAAGAGTTTCAAGCATCGCTCCCACCTGGTCCGTCACATGTATGTCCACTCTGGAGAGCACTTGTTCAAATGCAATTTATGTGAACTACATTTTAAAGAGTCTGCAGAGCTCCTTCACCACCCATGCCACCCACAGGGTTCACGGCCCTTTCGCTGTGCCACTTGTGGCAAAGGGTTCAAGCGTCCCTCAGATCTCCGTCAGCACGAGCGCACACACTCAGAGGAGCGGCCTTTCCACTGTGACGAGTGTCAGATGAGCTTCAAGCAGCAGTATGCTCTGGTGCGCCACAGACGCTCGCATCAAGACCCCACAGATCGGCCTTTCAAATGTAACCTGTGTGACAAGTGTTTTATGCAGCCTTCTCACCTCCTCTATCATCAGCATGTCCATGGCATGGACAACCTGTTCAAATGCGGCTCATGCCAGAAAGAGTTCAGCCAGTCAGGTGATCTGCTCAGACACAAGTGTGGCGAGTCCCCTGTCAGCTCCCCTGATAAACCGTACAAGTGTGATGTTTGTGGTAAAGGTTACAAGAAGAGCTCCACATTACAGCGGCATCAGAACTCTCACTGTCAGGAGAAGCCATTGAAGTGTTCTCTTTGTGACCGTCGCTTCGTGTCCTCTTCAGACTTTGTGCAGCACCGATGTGACCCATCGAGAGAGAAGCCGCTGAAGTGTCCGGACTGTGAGAAACGTTTCAAATACTCATCTGACCTGAACAGACACAAACGAGTGCACACTGGGGAGAAGCCCTACAAGTGTGACCACTGCAACAAGTGTTTCAAGCAGCGTGAACACCTCAACAAACACGCCAGCACCCACACCAGAGAGGGCCAGTTCAAATGTGTGTGGTGCGGGGAGCGCTTTAGTGACATCAACTCCTTGCAGGACCATACTGTGCAGCACACAGCAGACGGCGGCGGTTACCCTGTGTCCCAGTGTCTGTAACCGCCTTCAGAAACTCCAAGGTGTAACTCAGTTGGCTTGTACAGTTTTATGTATTTAGATCTGGTAACATTTAGCCTAGTATTTAGTCCAGTAAAATATTTTTAATTTAGTCTCTTCTGTAAGATCTTTTGTATCTAAACCAATATTACAGTTGCACTGATTGTTTCAACATTTCAACTTGGTTCATTCGTCCTTTTTAACTTTGCTTCTCTGGTGTAATTATTCAGCTTCTGGCAAACATAAGTTACAACTGATTATTAAGGTCCACTCAATGATATCCTAATGCATGCTTTACTGTGTTATAAAGGCCACATTTCATTACCACCATATCTCCTCACAATTCCATTACTCTATTTCACTTTCATTTTACTAGAACAAAGAACACATATTCTGCCATGAAATATTTTACTAACGGTGTAGGTAAAAGTACAATAATCAAAATATTTAAAAGCTGCAGTATAACTTTTCTGTTGGGGAGGTGTGCCATCCTTTTGTCTCTGTTGAGATGTTTTTGTATTGCCTAAAATGTTCCACAGGATGCCATTTCATTTAGCTTGCTTTTGTTGCATTAAAAATTAACATACTTTATTTACTGTGAGCTGTGTCCATGGAGTCGCACAAGCTGCAGCACTCTGTGGAACATTCTTGGCCAAGCAGCATCTCCATGGAGACAAATCGGTGACTGACCCTCTGCCATAGTGTGCAATGGGCAGCTGATTTAACTGCAATCTCTTAACCAAAACACTATATCAACTACAGGCAAAATATGTAACGGCAATTATTTGTAATTACGTAACAGGCACACATGAGCATGATGGGTGTAACGCTCCTGTAAATACTATGAGTTGAACTGAGACTTGTCCACTTCCAAAAACAAAGCAACAAATTTTTCTTATGTATTACACTGTTTTTCTATTCCCGCTTTTGCCAAATATTTTAACAAAGGCTTTTGTTTAGTTTGTTTTGTCTGTATTCCAGGAATTTCCAGGAAGGTTCTGTGTGTGTGAATGTAACTGGCTGTAAGTGAAAGAAGAAATGTTTTAAAGCCCCCCTTTCTCAGAACTCTTTGTTATAAGTTGAAGTTATCTATCTGTGAGTATAACTTAACAGAGGCACCTGCACAGAGGATGCTGACGTTTGAGACATATTGTGCTGTTACGTGTAGTATTTAGCCTAGTAGTAGTTTTTATGAATGAAGTTAACCTTGTTTGAATGGTGAACATTTTTACATATATAATTTACCTGCTCTGATTTGTTCTGTCCCCCTTCCCTTTAAGTGTTTCATGTCCATTTGCAGTGTTTTTTTTATATTTATATTACACAAACATTTTGGATTTGTTGTTTTTTAACACTGTCCCGGGACTCTGTGCCCTTTGACTTCTGTCCATAACTATCATTTAAATGTATTTTTCAAATGTCTGTAATGCAGATTCACAAATTATCTAGTTACAAGGTTTTTCTAGCATTCTAATCCAGTTAAATGAGTGTTTACTTTACCTCTATATATATTTAGGACAAACAGATCAAAAGTCAGTATACTGGCCCATGCTTAACCTGCATATACCAGCATGGGGTCTTTACAAATATATTATAACTTGTTTATTGAAGTATGTGTATTAATGGGTGCTAATAGAATCGGTTACAAGTGTTTACTTCTAACGAATAAGAACCATGTTTAATAATGTTCAGTAAATGTTAGAGAAAACCGGAGACACTGATAGTGTCCAGTGCCACTGTCGTCTTGGTATTACAGAGGGCATAACAGTAAGCAGTGGCACTTGTCCCAAACACCTTCTGCCATGTTCACAGTTCACTCGAGACTGAGTCCTGCATGCCTTCTCTGTTAGTTTTGTGCTCTCTTCTATAAAACTGTTTTCAACCCATTCGCTTGTGCCCTATTTTTTTACAAAACGTTTTTTTATTCACTTGAATTGTATGTATGAATTGTTTTGAAAAATAAGACATTGTAACTTTGAAAGTATGTGCAGAATGTGTATTCAAGATTATCTGATGTAGCATTCGGTTACATATGGCATTAAAAATAAACCTTTTCATAAGTAGTTAACTTAATTTTCTTCTTTTTAAAAAAAAAAAATTAGTGATAGTACATGTTTAAGATAAAGTCCATAACTCATAACTCTACAAAAGAAATGTATATATATATTGAGCACCATGTAATTGCAAATGCTTTACTAAAAAGGTATTCAATTGATAAACAATGTTTCCTTAATTTTAAAATAAATTTGTCTAGGGATTTTCACCACATGTACACAGAAATATCGCCAAAGCACAAGGCAGTGCAGTTTCTTATATATATGTGTTATGCATACTGTGCACATGTATAATTTGATTTTAGACTACATGAATACTAGGGCTGGGTATCATTAAGAAGTTGCCGATACGATACATATCTCGATACATAGGCCACAATACGATACATATCTCGATACAGTGAGCTTTTGATTCGATACGACATATTTCAAATCCAATCAACATGGTTTAATATAAAATAAAGGCTAAGTCATGGCTGTGACACTAAAAGTCTTTGTTAAACCACTTCTTGTGCAAAGTTCATCTGAAACACAAATATTTTAATCATCAAAACAGTGAAAATGTCAAATGTGTTGCATATACGAGTTTCCTTTCTCTAAACAAGCAACAAAACTGTGGCACTGTAACAAAATTATTTAGTTAAATATAGAAAAAATACTCTATATATCGATACAGCAGCCCACGATATCGATACTGTATCATCATATTAAACGATACGATATGTCGATATTTCAATATTTTTGCACACCCCTAATGAATACAGCGGAGTACAATGTCACACTAAATTCTCATCGCTAGAGGGCGCTATGGTCATTTTGTGGGGTGCACTCAGCCGTTGGTCCAGGTTCACTTCCGGGGAGCTCGCTGCTGTTCTATCGTAATTCGCTTCCCTTTCCCTGCGCTTACGACCGGGTGGTCTGCTGTACAGATACCCCCGAATACGGGCCCCACTCCCGGCTGCTGTGTCCAGGCCCCCACGGCTCTGCTCTCCCCCCACGACCGGCCGCACATGAAGCGGGCTCCGCCGATGAGCGCCCTCCGTCTGTGCGACATCTCCGCTCCTCTCCGGTAGCTTTGCTGCTAACGTTAGCTAACAACATCGATCTCTTTGGCTACTCCACCCCCTCTGCTGCTGCTCGACCCCCGCTTCATCCCTCTCATCAGCCCTTGATTGATAGCTAACATCGGACCACCGCGGGACTCTTCATCTTCTAGTTGTATATGAACATTTTTTAATATTTCATTTACGGGACTCGGGATTTTCAGCGCAACAACCCCATTTTTCTCTTCTTTCGTGGCCTCCTTAGGGTCTGTATTTTCTCTACCTCGACGCTTGTACTTCCTCGTTCCTGCTTATATTTGCTGTAAACTCTTTAATAAAACAGCACTGGACTCATTTGGTTGTGACCAAGAATTCCACTCTGCTGTCCCCCTCTGTCTCCTTTGGGCTGCAGAAGGAGGCTCGTTTTTTCTCTTCCACCGCACTTTCACACAGACCCCGTTATTGGTTTGGTGTCTCCAGCCTCTGCCCCGGTGTGTGAAAGTGCCCCCTGATCCCCCCCTGAGCCCCAGGCACTCGCCATGCCGGGTCCGGTGGCTGGTAGTAAGTCCCGTGTTTACGCAGATGTCAATACGTTGAAAAGCCGGGAGTACTGGGATTACGAGGCCCACGTACCTAACTGGAAGTAAGTACTGTTTTTATTTGGCTCACAGTTTTGTATAAATATGAAAATTGTACAAATGAACTCTACTACTACTCTGTCGGTGCTTGCCAATTTGCTGTCTGTTGTAATCGCCACATTTTCTCAGTTGGATGTTGTAGTAACTTAGACTTAGATTTAGACAAAGTTTATTGATCTACAAGGGAAATTATTTGGACACAGTAGCTCACACATCACAATGTAACAAAGAGTAAAAAACGTAAAAAAAAAAAATTGCAAGAGACAGATGTGAACTAAGACATAAGTATATAAATGTATGTACAAGTCAAAATAAAATGGAAAAATAAGTAAATTAAATCTCAGCTATATACAAGACGTCATACACTTCCTGAGAAATCTGATTTTAGCATTAAATCCTTAAAGGTGCATTGTGTAACTTTTCTGGTGGAAGGTTTTGTCACCTGCTTGTGTGTGGATATGCCCTACCTCAAATTTATTCAATTCCAGGTGGTTTTATAGCTCAAAAATTACATTAAAAACATTATTCTGACTGTGAGCGGGGGACGCCTCTTCACAGATCTGACCAGTAACTTGGTCTGGTTTGGTTTAATACCATACTGGGGAACATTATAGACAAAGTCATAACATTTCCATGGAGACTTACACAATGCACCTTCAAGGGCGGTGACAGGTTTCGCTTGGAACCAATATTTTTATCTAGATAGATATTTTGTATTGTGTCAAGTTATGTTAGTTTGTTTGCCACTTGTAGTTAAAAATAGATGGGAAAAACATGTGCAAAACGCCAAGTGCACCATGAGACATTAAAAATAGCCACATAAACAAACAAAATCATTACAGACGACATATGACTCTGGAAAAAATAAGACACAAAGATAGAGCTAAAATATTAAGGTCATCAAAGTTCGTTGTTCAAACTTATAAGATGTTGAATGCTGTTTAACTGTCACCAACTAAAATGAAGTTTATTATAAATCAAAAGATAAAATGATCGATGCATGTCTAGGACCAAGTCACTGTCAACAGCTGCCTCAGATGGAGTAATGCAATAATTGTGATGTCACTTGTGTTTACTCTCTAGTGGCTGGACTGCTCAGATTGGTCTGTGTCCGTCTTCACTTGACTGAATTAACCTTTAGCTTGAGATTTGTTCTCACTTGTTTGAGCTTGATCACAAATGCTTTTACTCAGTGACTACCCCTGTTTTAACTGCACATTGTAACCAGGAACATTTCTTTTTTTGTCATATTCACACTTTTGCTCTTCTGTTTGTCCCTATAGCAACCAGGAAGACTACCAGCTGGTTCGAAAACTGGGCAGAGGGAAGTACAGTGAAGTATTTGAGGCCATAAACATCACAAACAATGAGAAAGTGGTGGTTAAAATCCTAAAGGTAAATACTTTTCAGTCTCATTCATTTCTTTGGATTCAGTTGGTAGAAATGCAACAGTACTGGTGCCTGCAGTTACAGTGTCACGATGGCAAATGTGTATGCATTGTTTAATTGATAAAGATATCCATTCTTGTCACTTCTGCTGTTTCAGCTGTTACTTTTAAGAATACAGTCACATATTTAGATAATCTATGGATTAGGCTTTGCCATTATGTTTCTCGTGCCGTAGACATGCCAGTTAGCTTAGCTGTTAGACAAAGGCAGTGTCAAATTACTTGTCAGGCATGTTGATAGCGTAACCTTGGCCCTCCCAAAGGCTGGAGTGTGCAGAGATTGACAGACGGATGCTGCTGCAGCCAAATCAGCAGCTTCCACATGAGGCAGCGCAGGGCCTCCCTCACAGATTCTGACATCTCTACATTTAACCCTCTGTGCTGTGTGTGTGTTTGTGGTATTTTAAAACAGCCAGTAAAAAAGAAGAAGATAAAACGAGAGATCAAAATCCTAGAAAATCTGAGAGGAGGAACCAACATTATCCGTCTGGTGGACACAGTTAAAGACCCCGTGGTGAGTTTTACGTGACTGTAGGCGCCATCTATATACATGAGGTGTTTTCAAACTGAGAGAACCATTCGGATGTACTTTTCTGGTACTTTTCAGTATTCAGTAAAAACATATTTCTCAGGGCAGATTAGTAGTACCATTCTTTTTTTTTCCCCCTTTGTTTTTTAGAGTAGACCTTGCATTTTCTGAATGGTTAAATCTCAATCATGCCCATCAGAACTTGTGACAACAGACAGAATACATGTTGTTGAAAAGTGTACGAACCAGCCTGTAGCCTTGGCTGGCCACGCAAATTTATCTCTGCATGTGATAATGTGTAATTTTTAATATTGGGGTGTTTAGGAAAGTGCTTTGTATAATCTTCCTCATTAGATCACTTTGAATGTCTGTATCATCTTGGAAAAAAAATGACATAAAACAATTTTTCTTATTTCTTAATGCCAGCCAGAATTAACTAATATTTTAACCCTGCCTAAGGTGCTATCTGATTCTAGTTCGATGTGGGCATTCCTCAAGCTCCATATTTTTTGCTCTGAGTATTTTTAGCGCCTCCTCCACACATCAAGCTGTGGTGGAACCAGTCTGCATGTTAAAGAGCTTCCAATTCTGAAAAATACTGAAGCAGAATATAGGCCATTGCAACTTTCCTGTTCTGAACACAACAATGAACTGCACTATTTTAAACTGTTTCTTTATTGTTTGAAAATCAACTGTGTCGTGTTGTTTGCTGATGATCTGTTGCATCTGTTGTAAATCAAAAAGTTCTCTGGCTAAAAATAAGGGGTTGAATCAGTAATGAACTACATCCTGTTTGTGATTTCAACTCTTCTGTGTCTCTCTGTGGTGGTTCTCCAGTCTAGAACTCCAGCTCTCGTCTTTGAATGCATCAACAACACAGACTTTAAGGTACAATACAATTTGCTCTGTGCTGCATGCTAGCTCTGCTCATGTGGGCCAGGCGTGTCTTTGAAATCAATCAGTAGCTCAAGAGATGAAGGGACAAAAAGGTTAATATTTTCCATAGTACTGACCTTGATGCATGTTTATTATTCTCACAGGAGCTGTACCAGAAGTTGACAGATTATGATATCCGTTTCTACATGTATGAACTACTGAAGGTGAGAGTGTGGCCTCAGCATTGTAGACTTGTCTCTGCTTTAGCTGTTCAATGTGTCACAATTACAAAAGGTTTGGTTGTATTCACATAAGTGATTAAGGTCTCCAATACACAACTACAAATCTGCACATTAAGTCTCTTAAGTCTAGTTGTCCCATCTTATTATAATTTTTAAAAATAAACAACTTTGATGTGTTAAAATTGATGTTATGAACCAAAACTAACAATAATTTCTTGGATTTAAACCAGTGTTTGAATCAAGTTCTAGTTGCATATGTTTTTTCAGTTTTGTTGCATTCAGCCATAATTAGACAAACTCCATCCCCATCCCTCCATTATTATATTCATGTCTAACAATGCACCTGTCTGTTTCTGAAAGGCTCTGGACTACTGTCACAGCATGGGAATCATGCATCGAGACGTCAAACCTCACAATGTGATGATCGACCACCAGTTGAGAAAGGTGGGTGGGTCGGATTTTTTTTTCATTCTTTATTCAAACACCAACACGCTGTTTCAGCTAATTTTATATTCTTATGTTTCCAGCATGAGTCATTTTCAGTTTTAGTCATTGCAATGTGATTTAATTAATTTATAGTTTTATCTTTTGGAAATTTTGTACTGTTTACCAGCAGAGGGCAGCAGACCTGCATCAGTTCATCTCCTAAATAAACATTCATTGTAATCTGTACTGTACCAGAAATGTTTAAATCAGAAGAAAGTGTTAATATAATGCTTATGCAAAGCTTAATACATAATTCATTATTATTATTATTATATATTTGTGAAGCAGAAACTTCATTAAGACTGTCAAAGCTATTTTTATGCTAATGTTTGTATGCTTTTCACAGCTACGCCTTATAGACTGGGGTTTGGCAGAGTTCTACCACCCATCCCAGGAATACAATGTCCGAGTTGCCTCTAGATACTTCAAAGGCCCCGAGCTGCTGGTGGACTATCAGGTAAAAGTCTATTCTTGACAAAACATCATTTTCCAAGTTAATTTATGCCACTCTCTCCATCCTCATCTAATTTTATCATAACTGGTCTCGTGTTTTTAATGCTGTGCTGCAGATGTATGACTACAGTCTAGACATGTGGAGTTTGGGCTGTATGTTGGCCAGTATGATCTTTCAGAAGGAGCCTTTCTTCCATGGACAAGATAACTATGATCAGGTATTGCCCCAATGCAAACGAAATAATTTATTTTTAAAACAAGAGAATTGGCTTTGAATACCAAAACAACAAACATTTGTGTCCCAAATTCAGTCATATATTTTCTTTATTCACAGCTGGTGCGTATTGCCAAAGTGCTAGGAACAGATGAGCTTTTTGGTTACCTACGAAAATACCACATTGAACTGGACCCACGCTTCAAGGACCTGCTCGGACAGTAAGTGTCACTGAATACCCAGAAAACACCCACATATTTTTACTGATTTACATTTATAATAGACTTGTATACTGGTGTACAGGAGAAAAGGTTGAAAATAATTTTAATTGTTTTGTGTGTTTTTTTTTTCATTTGTAGACAGAGCAGGAAGCGATGGGAACAGTTTGTGCAGACAGAGAACCAGCACCTGGTGAGCCCCGAGGCTCTGGATCTGCTGGACAAGCTGCTACGATACGACCATCAACAAAGACTGACCGCCACTGAGGCCATGGAGCATCCATACTTCTGTAAGAAGACACAGACTATAGAACAGTATCCATAGGAGATGAATATCATTATCACTGTTCTTTTTTCAGATCCAGTGGTAAAGGAGCAATCTCTTTCAAATTCTGAGAACAACATTGTTTCCAGTGGCAACACTACAGCTCGATGAAACATGGGTAAAGCTTTGTTTCTTTTTTACCTTATTAACACATAGTAACATTGAAAAGACAGATATAGCTTAAGGAGCCTGGCTTTTCAGTATTCTGGAGAATATTTTTACTAATATTTTTTTTAGAAGTAGAGAATCTTAGTCTGACCCCCTGCTGTTGACACAGTCTGATTGACTTTAGGGTGACAGCGCTCAAATGATAAAGTGATAGAGGTGGATTGTGTAACCAAGTGCTGGCAATTAGAATCTTGCTTCATGCGCTTCCCAATGGTTTACTGATGAAGGGGTTGTGAGTTGAACTCTCAAATCCAACTATTTGCATTTGCCTAATGTCTCTCCTTAATTTCTGACATTAAAGCTGCCATTTGTAAGTTTGTCTAATATTTTTTTACAACTAGATGGCAGATGTAACACCTGTTTTCATCCCACACGTGAGCCAAAAAAATAAATTGAAATATGTTACTCTATATTGTTAAGATATACTTGGGCAAGACTCTTCCCTCACCATGCCTGTGTGACAGTGGTCAGAAAGGGTGAATGTGCAGCCATGTTTCTTTCAGTTACTATCTTTGAAATAGTAGAAACCCTGTACTGGCACAGGAGCTTCCCATTCAATGTTACTGTATGTAATTTAGTTATTCTTGTGTTTCTTTCTACAGAAGAGGACAAGAAGTTCGTCTGTTACCTCAACTTTGTACCCAGTTGTGACAGTAACTTTGACAAGTGTACAGTGACAATGGAACAAATGGATACACACTCCTTCACACACCTCAGTCTAAGCACAGACATGTGAACACGCCCTCCTCCTCTGTATCCGTCTGTGATTGGCTTGTCCTGGTTCCCTGTCTACAAGTCTGACCAATGAGCTCGAAGCTGCCCCTGTACCGAACGTCTTTTCCTTCAATGGTTTTATTCCAGCTCTGTCTCACGTAGGTCAACAAGGACTTTAAAGACAGTTCTTCTTTTCCTGGTCTCTCTGGTCATCTTGGTTTGCATCAGCATGGAGAATGAACAGGAGTGTGCGCCTATAGCCCCTCCTCCTCTTGTACCCAACAGGCACACCGATGTCTTAGCACTACTCCAGTTCAGAAAGTGGCATGGTGGACTCTCTCTAGATAGAATGACAATGATAATAATAATATTAATGAAAATAAATGATTTTTATTTAGATGAAAATGTGTGAAGTTGCTTCTTTTTTTTTTTTAAACCTTTTTTAAGGATGATATGACATCCTGATAACCTAAGCCAGAAGAGATCATAACATTTTTGACCAAAAATGAGCAGATTAAAATGATACATCTTTTAAAACTTGCTCCAAGTGATGTTTTGATGTTGAAAATACATTTTAATTGTATAAAAACACAATTCACATGGGAGCACCCTGAAATAGTATAGTGTACAAAGCAATTCTGTCATATACTAATATTCATAAGGTTGTTGATCCTTTTGCAAATTGATGGTAAGGACTCTGTTAGAGGACCTCCATGTTGCACAAAATCCCTGTGTAACATTTACCCTTGTACTCTCCCTCATAATCATACATATAAACCGTTCTATAAAACGTGATTATTAGGTAATATAATCAATTCATATGATGCATTTCGTATTATTAGTATTCAAAACCTGGATATCCTAAAGCTGTATATCTCATATGAACAGGCATTTCCTTTTTCAGGTCACCCACTGTTGGTCTGTTGTCATTGTGTGTAAGTGAGCGGCTAACGTATTGGCTTCAGTCTGTACAGAAACCAGAGCTGTGTTTTCCTGTTCTACAACCTGATCCAGAGCGCCACACACACACACAGTCACTCACACTGCCGGGGGCCTATACACCTTTTACATCCTGCCCATGAAAGATTCATCAGAGCCAACTTGTCTGACCAACATTGGTAACTGTTGGGTCACAAGGTCCAGGTGTTCTGTCTCTGTCCTAAAGCTGAGCTGGACTTTCCACACTGGACTGGTCTCATTTAGATAGATTAGAGTTAAGATCTTGATGTCTGACTGCTAAACACAGTAAACACAACACCAATCAGTGCAGCAAGTTAAGACAGGAAGACACAACAAAATCACTGATTTTGAAGGTTTATATAATTTAATATTTCACAGAAATTTCCAGAAGCCAAAACATCAAGATTCCAGCTATATTCAGTCTAAAACTACAAATCTGATATAGTTACATGCACAAACAGGAATAAATATCATATTTAAAACACTTTAAACATTTTTTTTGACATGATGCAGTGTGCAACTTTTGCTGCCAATTGTTATTTACACTGATGCAATGAATCATGGTGGCCTTATACATTTACAGGCCAGATAAAAAAACAAACAAACTTTTGCCCAGTTGACAGAATTTTATTTCTCCTTTGCAATACAGACCAGACTCAGAACAACATGGATTACATAACTGGCTAAACTCTTTCAGACTGTATAATAAGAAAATAGATGAGAAAATAGATCATCTATGTTTTCAAAAGGAACTGTTCAACAAAATGTGTCTATATTCATTGCAGAACGCAAAGGTTGATCTCCCCTGTGACCGCGAGGGGGGCAGGCCACGGGGGCCTACTGTCAGCCAACACGCTTTATACAACGCCTGTAGCGAATGCATGGCACGCACCTCTTCTCACATTTGGATCCTGGTGAAGCTGGAGCCTGGACCATGGAGGTCTGCTTCCTGCAAAGACAAGTACAAAGAGAGATGAGAAGAGCTCACAGGAGAGTGAATTATTCAGAGGCAACTCTTGTTTCTCCTGGCCTGTCCTGACAGAGCATAGTGTGATCACAGTCCACTCACAGGGTAACTAAGGTCTGCTTATTACATCAATAATGTACCTAATGAGCCTGATGAATGGGCACACAAGTCAAAACACACTGACGGTTTATACATAAAAAATTGTATCACTGAGAGACTGCTTTGCACGATTTTGTTACCTAAATCAGTGTAGTTTAGGAATAATTGTTTACACCAGGAAGTTAAAGAGGAAATGTTCGTATTGCACTCAAGTGTTGTAGTATTGTAGTTTCATACAGCCAAAAAATTTAAAAAACAAAAAAAAGATTTTGTGCCTCTCAGTTCAAACTTTACCAGTATGTATCCTGCACTCTTAATATTGTACAATAAGTACTACAGTCACAACTGATCCTGAGTTACCAGTGCAGATAGAGGACACACACACAGGCCTCATGTGAACGCTTAGAACCTCCAGAATTCACTCACTGAGCTGCAGAGGCTGCACTAGCGCTAGCACTGACTCATGACTGGCTGCAGGTACTAAGGTGTAGTGGGTGAGGATTCAAAATAGAGAAAGGCATTTTAGGTTTTAACCAACTGGATTTCACTGCATTAGTACAAAATAACCCCTAATGGACAGGCTCATGCTTGGACTCACCTGGTGTTAGCAGCAGCTGCAGCTGCAGCAGTAGCAGCCCTCTCCCTCTTTTTGACCTGTTTCATTATCTTGAGCATGCGGCAGATCTGCCTCAGGGTCATGTTGGGGTCGTGATGGGACAGGCGAGGCTGGGGCGTGAAGCGTGGTCCACGGTACATGAACATGGACAAGTAGTCTCCTCTGGACGGCCTCCCATACCCACTACCGGGACCATAGTAGGATGCACACTGTGAACCAAAACATAAAATCTCAGGTCAGGGATGTCTGTTATGAAATAGATCCATTCTTAAAGTTGCAAAACCACAAATACATCTACTTCTTTGAATCTAGTGTAATATGATGATGCTATGTGTCTGCATTTAGACCACACATATAATGCACACTCACTTTTAATTAGTGGACTCTGATAACACAGTTGTCCAGAAGAGATTGACTTACATCAGTGGTACTCACTCACAGCGGACCCACACACAGACACACAGGATTGCACACACACACGCGCGCGCACGCACGCACGCACGCACGCACGCACACACACACACACACACACACACACACACACACACACACACACACACACACACACACACACACACACACACACACACACACACACAGTAAGCATCATGTCAGAAGACCAATCTGTATTTCAAACCTTTCCTAATGACCTATACAACAAGGACATAGAATAGGCCCAGTTCACTGATAGGGGATGTTGATGATGAGTATGTTTCCCCAGATATCAGTTTTAATGCAAACATTTAATACAATAATGTAACCAAACATGCATTTCTGGTCCTTGTTATGGATTTTTGAAGCTTAATATCAGTAGGCTATTGACCACAACAACAAAACATTCATATTGAGCCATACCTAACTGGAAATAACTTCTAAATAAAACATGCATACACTAAACAAATTACTCACCCACTTTTACTGAAATATGAGTATAGAAAGAACCCCCATAAACTACTAATACCAATACTAAGTGCAGTTCCCCACAGTATGCACAAGTTAAAATACAAAAGCCAAAATACTTACAGGAACGACAAAAGCCATTGTGAAATGTGTTGAAGCATGGAAAGAGTCTACGCTTTTATACTGACAGACATGACCAGACAACAAACTCAGCCAGTCAGAGTGAAGAAAACACAGGAGACTCCTCCCAGGTTAGGTCACACACACACAGAGGCTATCCTACACTCACATCTATTATTAAAGACCTCGTTTGTTCTAGGTTATATTTAGAATAAGGTTTAATTCAGGGAAATAAAGGAACATTTTTGTTTTGAGATGCATTATGTAACTGTTCTGGTGGTGGAGATAGATAGGTTTAATCTATACTCTGTTTACAACAACGGATAACCCTATGTCCTGTCAATAATCATATCACTGTTGCACTGCCTTCCAATGCCCGCTTGTAAATAACTGAGATTTGATATTTTATTACTTATTTTTCTGTTTTATTTTGACTTGTACATGTACATTTACAGTACATAATTATGTCTTATTTGACACCTGTCTCTCGCTACTTCTACTGCCTGTTTCATGGGAGTTGCATAAAGCAGGAGGTTGGCATGAGATGTGACGTCCATGAGTCGCATGAGTGGACAGCAGCATATTACCTACATCAGTGTCGGGAAGAAGAGGACAATACAAAAGGAGGACAATAGAGATAAAACAAAAGGACACTGGAGATGATCAAAACAGCATCAACAGACTCACGCCCACCTCATTGTACTGTGGGCCAAATAAACACAAGGAGGATGAGTTTACACTTAATATTAATCTGATGTGAAAGAGGAAGCCTGCCTTAAGGAAACCTAAGATACATGTAATGAGTATTCCTTTTATAGTCAATGTGTATATAGGAATAGGCCTAACTGTTGTGAAACAAATTTAAGAGAATTGTGGATGTCTAAGGAGATATGTTTATTTATCAGTATGGGCACTGGACATAAACACTCAACACGGTCTTTTTTTATTCAAGTCTGACCATGTATCTGTATCTCTGATGGTGCAGGGAGGTCATAACAAGACCCCCCCCCCCTTTTTGGTTGGGTTATTCTGGAGTGACAATGTACTTGAGTACCTCCCAGCTCTCATACACCCCCAGGCCCGAGGTCCTTATTTTGGAAATACTGCCTGTTATTTTTGCTTTTAGTTGGGAAAATATCAAATGATCTACATTGTTTATTTTAAGGATAGACCTAAACAATAATGGCAAAGAGTGGGTCTATGTATCAAAGATGTAGCACGATACCCTATTCTAATTCAAAGGTCTGTGAAGCCCAGAGTTCACATTTACTGAGCAGTCGCGCGCTCTCTGTCCTAGTCCTATTGTGCCCCCTGCTGGTGGTGCAGGATTTTTTCCCCCCGTAACTACAAATGGGCTGAACTTTTTAATTTGTCTACAGACAAACGTGTGTAAACATTTTAACATCAGGCCTTGGTCTACGGTCTACGTAATAGGGCTCACTGGAAAATGTGTCTAATTTGGGTCACTTGGGTCATAAACGCGCCTACACAGCCTGGACGTGCCAACATTACTGTCCAGTCAGAGACGCAAGTCGTCGCTCTCTGATAACTTGACAGTAGCCTGTATTCTGTTTTCCACTGAGGACGGCTGTGAAGTGAGATGAGATGAAGTGCGCTTTTATTTAGCCAATCTTAAGAGAAAAGAAGAAATGTGTTTTCAGGCTACATTAGATAAACAGCAGGAGACTGTCTAAAACAGATCATGACAGCAGCGCGCTGTTGGAGGGAGATAAACGTGAGCGGAGCCGGCAGATTAAAAGTTAGTTGTAATTATAGTATTAGTAATTATTTTGCCCAAATGTCCACGCACTTTGTGCTTATCGGAAAATAAACACCGAGCTTTTGGGAGTAAAAGTAAAAATGGCTTAGACCTACTTAAAAGGCACGTGCAGATTAGCATATTGTTTAAAAATGAATAAACTTTTAATTATTTCCATAAACAATATGGACTACATCTTTTAATTCTAAAGTTAAAGGCATTTCTCATTTAAACGAAACTTTACAGCGTTTTATTGACCAGTGAATATCAAAGGCCTAGTTTAAGCCAAAGCAGTAACTTTTGGGGTAAAAATTTGTCTATAGTCTAATAAAAGCTTATCAGTTTGGTTGTGCTTGTTGTGCTGAAAATAAACCGTAGGTTTGGAGGTTGGTTTCATTTATGGTTTCTATTTTCATCACAAGAATGCCCCTTTTGCAGCTCATCCGGATGTAAGTCAGTAAAATGCAGGTTTACAGCTGTTGTAGAGTAAATCAGTTTTGGGAAGAGTAAAGAAGATGTCTCCGAACCTTAAAGAGACACTTCTTCTTAGGATGGTGCGTTCAGGCTCCTGCGGATGGAGCCGCTGTTCTGAGCGCAACCAGAAGTGCAACAGGTGCATCGAGATGCGTTCAATGTTAATGGGATTTTTATTGAACATTTGATAGCCTACATTTCATTGTCTCAACTAAATGCTATTTGAGTTCCATAGCCTCTGTGAACGATAGAGGAATCACGAACACTTGATATAAGAACCAGTTGTTCCTCTGTTATGTCATAACAGAAACACCTGTCCGGCTGCTACCCGCAGTAATGTTGTAGTTGTCTTATTGTCCCACCCCCTCAGTGAACGCAAAAGCCTGTTTGAAACCCGCCCTCTCCGTCTATCGTCAATACTGAAGTTGCACTGACTGGGTGTGAACTGTGAAGTTGAAGTCACTCTTGTCAGCTCAACCGTCCGGAGGAAACAGTCTCCCCGGGAGTTTGGTTTTATCCAGGTGGGCACTCAGAACCTCTGCTAGGATGTCTCCATCCACGTCCCCGCGCTTTTTCACAGAGAGGGAGGTGGCCCGCCACTGCACCAAGGACTCGTGCTGGGTACTTTTGGGCACCAGGGTGTACGATGTGACCAACTTCCTGAGGATGCACCCAGGCGGCGAGGCGCTCATTCTGCGCCGGTCGGGGAAGGACATCAGCCGGGAGATAGAGGGGCCCCCACACCGGCACTCGGAGAACGCCCGGCGCTGGATGGAGCAGTACTACATCGGGGAACTGGACAGAAACAGCGGTTCTGAGGAGGCACAGGTACACACCTAACTACGGGCTGGTCTGCGTCCTCACCTGACGCGAGTGCACAAACTGACATCACTGTCAGGGCTCCGTCTGTGGGACCAGGAAGCTCTCAGCTGTTGCAGCCTTGTTCATTTGTAAAGCTGTCAGCTCTGACTCTGCTGACTTCATCTCTTCTTTACGGTGTTTACACTGAGCCTTAAGGGGCTCATAAAGGCTAAAGGAAACCCTCTATAGGCAGAGCTATGCTTGATTAGGAATTTGCTTGATTATTAAACTCCGTAATCTCTTTGCATAGACCAAGTATCCATTGCTATAGACTCCCTCACGTACTTAAGTTTGAAAATGAAATGAAAACAAAAAGCAAAACCGCGTTATAGCACCCAACAGCTGCTATAGCGCAGAAACAGCATGAAATAAATCAATAGACCAATTTAAAAAACAAACAAACATGCAGGGTATATAAGGATTGGATAATAATAATTATTTATTGAAAATATAGTCCTATTAGTAAAGTAAAATAAATCTAAAATTGCCTAATAATAAATCAGTGCTAATCACATTCAATACTTCATGTTCTTCTTTTGGTTCAAATCAGGTAATAACCAGATAATGGCATAGATTGCTTGCCTTTGCCCATGTACCATTCACTTATGTTACAACATGGACCACTGCACTACGTCACCCCAGAATAGGCAAAACACAGGAAAATGTCAGACCACAAGGATTTTCCATGGAATATACCTGTCGGTGTCTCTTTGTTTCTCTTGTCGTAGCATATTTAAGCAATGGAATAATCATAGTCAGTTTTGCCTAATGTTTTAAGCCGTTTTAAGGAGGTTGTAAACTGATAGGGCTCAATGTGTGCCGGTGTAAGTGTCTTTGACTTACAGGTCTTTTCCAGACCTTTTTGTGATACTGGTGGGGCGATTTCTATACTTCTGTGCTTGCTCAGCTCTCAGATACCATTGATTAGAAGGGAGGGGTGGCGAATAAAGCCAGGAAGAGATTGGACTTAATGCTTGTGTAATTTTGATGGGAGCAGTGTGCGTACAGGTAAAGGACAAGGTGGGGGCTGGGAAAAGAGGGTGTGGATCTGCTGCTGTTAATGAATGATTCAGGATAAGTGAGGAGAGAGGCCAAGAGAGAGAGAGAGAGAGAGAGAGGAAGAAACTGGTTTATCTTGTCCTAGGTGGAATAGAAGGAATTCCAACAGGACATTTTTTAAGGAAAACTGGATTGTCAGTAGAGTCCACACCCACCTTTAGTTCTGGTTGTGTTCCTGGTGGTGGTAAGAGGGAGTCAACCAAAATGGAGAGACAAAGAGCTTTGCATAAATCTCTTTCTCTCAGCGATGCATTTACATGACTTGCCTTCACAACATGTGGACTGTATGTCAAAGTGAACACCACATCTAATACAACATAGGCAGAGTTGGACACTGAATTTAAATAATATATAAATAGCTTAAAGGTGCAATGTGTAATTTTTCAGGTGGAGGGTCTGTCAAATGCTTTTCTTCATGGAGATGTTATTGCATTGTTTGGAATGTTTCACAGTATGGTATTAAACCTTTCTATCTTCATGGAGACCAAACCAGACCAAGTTACAGGTCAGATCTGTGGAGAGGCAACCCCGTTCACTCTCAGAATGCCTGTTTTTCTCTGGTTTTTTGAGCTATAAAACCACCTGTAATTGAATAAATGAAAGCAGATGATGGACCCTCTACCAGAAAGTTACATAGTGCACCTTTAACTGTAGCAAACATGAAATTATGTTAATGTTAAAAGTTAATGACTGAAGAAAATAAAAAAAATACTACCACTGCTTTGCCTCAATCATGAGTGACTCTTGATGTAGATAGATACTGATTCAAATTTCAAGTTCAATTTAATTCTGTATTTTCTATTCCAATGAAAAGATGAATTAGTTTCATTTATTATGGTTGCTTTAATCTATTTTGCATGACATTTGTGGATATTTGTAGTCTAACCTGAACAGAAAGCTAAAAATCATGGCTTTGTAAACTTAAATTTAAATTATTTTTCAGTAAGTACACATTTTACCTTCTTTTACAATGGAACTTAATAACATCCATGTTGATATCAGTGTAGAAACAAGAACAACAGGATTGCAGATGGAAACTAGCTATTAAGGTATAATCTGGTGCCGAACATGTCTCTGTACACTGTCTCTACAAATAAAGACTAAACTAACAAAAAAAAAACAACATACAAATAATATGCATTGTTACCTTTTACTTTAGCCCAAAAAGCAGTGAGAAGAAGAAGCACGTATTTAATAGGGATGTAACAATAACTGAAATATTGTGATATTGTATTGTCAAAAGTCTCACAATAATATCGTGGACTGTCACAATATATATAAGTTCCTTTGCTTAAATGCATGGTTTTATAGTAGCAACAGCTTATGAACATTAGAAACTACATATCCCAAGATTCATTTCACTGCAGACAACATGAAGATATATGTTTTTACTTTTTACAGAAATAATTCACACCAAAATCTTGTGAAGGTATTTTAAAAGCAAAAAAGTGTCCCATCTACAATTATATTAGCCTCTTCAAAATATCACAATAAATATCGTACCGTGAGATTTGGATATCATTACATCCCTAGTATTTAACCTCACCCCATCTTTTAATTTAACATGATGATCTTTCTTTTGCATTCCTCAGACATTTTACATCAAAGCATATGGACTATTTAGATATGAGGTGACATTCTGTAACTCTTATATCCTGGTTTTAATTCCATGTCTATTACAGTGACATATTAGGCCTACTGTATATATAGCATTTAATAGTCGGCGTAATAGCGTAGTGGGCGTTGGCTCTCTGTTAAAACACATGTCATTTTTAGATTCTGGAACTCATTGTTTCATTGTGTGTTTTCATGTTAACACAGTTTACCAGTTATATTATTTTTGTGTAGTAAATCGGGGCCAGTTACTCATGAAACACAGGGAGAAATAGTTGCAGATTGTAGCAGACTGGACCTGACTCTCTTCATTAAGGCAGGTGCACATCCTCTGCAGCTGTATGAGCTAGAGACCGCTACATTTTTTTAATCTAAAGGTGCACTATGCAACTTTTCTGGTGGAAGGTCCGCTACCTACTTGTCTCCATGGAGATGTTATTGCTTTCCCTGGAATGCTCCATGGTATAACATTAAACTCCATTAAACTCTCTCCACAGATCTGAACTGTAATGCAGCGTAGTGCTGTAACCTGCTTGTCTCCCTCGTGATAGACAGGTTTAATCTATACAGTGGAACATTATAGACAAAGCAATAACATTTCCATGGAGACACACAGGTGGCGGACCCTCCACTAGAAATGTGATTTGAGATGATTGAGATCGGCGAAGTATTGAAATATTATTTGTGAAGATTTATGAGAAATCAGAATATCACAATTATTGTTTTGTCATTCACATTTGTTCAATATATGCACCTTTGTGAGACTTTTAAAGGTGCATTGTGTAACTTTTCTGGAGGGTCAGTCACCTGCTTCTGTCCATGGAAATATTGCCTGGAATGTTCCACAGTATGGCATTATACTTATTTATCTTTACGAAGACAGTTAGGGCCAGGGTACATGTCAGACCTGTGAAGAGGGGAGCATACTCACAGTAAGATTGCAAGTTTTAGGTCAATAAAAACATGTTATTGAGTAAATGCAAAATGGATACATTTAATGCCATACTGGGACATTCAAGACAAAAAAATAACTCTCCATGGAGACAAACAGGTGGCGAACTCTCCAAAATAAAGGTTAAACAGTGCATTTTTAAAAACAGATTTTTCCACATTGTATTTTTATCAAAATATTGATATATCGTATTGTTTAATGTGATGATACAGTATCGATATCGTGGGCTGCTGTATCAATATATTGCCAAGAGTATTTTTTGGTATATTTTACTAAGTTATTTTACTTTCCAGTGCTAGAGTTTTGTTCCTTGTTTAGAGGAAGGAAATTCATTTATGCAACACATTGAACATATTCACTGTTTTGATGATTAAAATCTATGTGTTTCATGTGATCTTTGCACAAGAAGGGGTTTAACAAAGACTTTTAGTATCACAGCCATCATTTAGCCATTATTTTTTATTGAATCATATCTAATCGATTTGAAATATATCATATCGAATCAAAAGTGCACTGTATCAAGATATGTATCATATCGTGACCGATGTATTGAGATATGGATTGGATCGGTAACTTTTTAATGATACCCAGCCCTACACCCAAAGATATGAAGCTGTTCAATTGTCAGTATTGCTTACACCTATACTCAGTGTAGTAAACTGTAATTGCTACTGTTTTATTATTGTGTTAACTTTTGTCATTCCACAATTTATGTTATAGTTTCCGCATAATCCAGTGGGTGTTGTCTCATTGTGAAGCAGAGTAAGTGAAGACAATAGAAGCTTATGGGAAGTATGAGATTTATTTTGACTGCTAAGGTCATGGGACTTTGCGGTGCTTGTATTTGCATCATTAATTAATTAATTTTTTAAGGAAATATTTCCCTGGTATGTCAGTCTTGATATTTTACCCAAGTTAACCATTGGGGGAGAAAAGGTAAATTTACATAGTTTAGTGAAATTAACTGTGCTTATTTTAGCTGCTACTTGCTCAGAAGCCACGCCTGTCATCCACTTTGTGTGTTTTAAAGGGACACTATGTCATTGTGACATGTTAGGAAGTTACAGAAACATTTTATTGTTTTAGGGCCAGTGTACAGAATGCGCTCTAAACCAGTTGTTTCCAGTCTAGGAAGAGGTTCCAGTTTAGAAAAGAGGTTCAAACTAGACTGTGAATTTCAACAAAGGGATAGCATGTTAAGTTAAGTATTTTAAATTCATTATCCATATAATATTTTTTTCCTTATAAGACGGTTGCTTGTCAGATGAAGAATGTCAAGATCACCAGTGTATCCGCCGTTAAAATTGGGATTACTGCTGAAAAACGGTAGGAACTACAGCTC